CGTGAACCTGCGATCCCAGCTACTCCAGATGCCGGGGCAGGAGAATCGCCTGAACCCGGGAGGCTGAGGTTGCAGCGAACCGAGATCGCACCACTGCACTCCAGCCTGGGTGACAAAGTGAGACTCTGTCTCAAAAAATAAATAAATAAAAATAAAGATATAGACGTTGCTGATTTCGCAAATCCTCGGCTGGGCCTCGGGCCTCACCAAGGAGGGGCCGCAAGTGGAGCCAAGTGCCACCCATTGAGCCGCTCGGGGGCCGCAGGTGCAGGCGGTGGGAGGGAAAGCCAGAACGGCCGGCCGGGGGCGGGGCGTTGGAGGAGGAGGGCCATTTTGAGCACACTCCGTTTTTCCCTAAGTGGAACCCACAGTGGCAACAATAAGGCCAAAGGGGAAGTCCCTGCTCCCAACGCCAGCACGGTGACCGCTTTTTCCAAGGGTCACCCCGGAACCAAAAAAGCACACACACCCCTGAGGCACGCCCCAGGCCGCAGCGCCAACCCCTCACCCAGGTGCCCCGGAGGCTGGCGAGCAGAGGCCCCCAGGGGTTCCCGACGCCACCCCGGACTGGCCCGCACCACAGCAGCAGGCAGGGCGGCTCGGCTTCCCCTCCCGTGCCCCTTAGTCCCACGCCAGCTCCCGGCTTGCCAACGGCACCGCCCCGCGCCTCAGCCACCTTGACAGAGCGGCGAACGCGTGGCGGCGGCTCGGAGAGCCCACTTCCTATCCTCGAGGCCGAGGCCCGCGCCTTCACCAACCAGATCCTGTCCTGGACCAGCGCCCACGCGCACCACCTTCGTTACCAAATCTGCATAGCCCGTGCCCCGGCCCACCCTCAGAGTCTCCCCTCCGCCCCGTGGCTACAGAACCGCGCCCCCTCCCCCTTGGTGGCTTCCACAATGGCTCCGCCTCAACCGTCGGTAGCTTCCCGCCCACCTGGCCTAGAAGACCAAGCCAAACCCGCACCCACACTCCGCTCCCGCCATCGGGGAAGCCCACCAGGCTCCCTGCTCAACTTGCCAGCAGGAGGAGGCCTCTGCGTGGAGTCGGTGGAGCAGTCCCCACTGCCTCCGAGCGTCGCAACTCCGCGCCTCCGGCACCGCCGCAGCGCCTCAGGAAGCCGGTGGACGGCGGGAAGCGCCCGTCCAATCCGCGCCAGGCGCGGTCGGTAGTGCGTCCAATCGGCGTCGCTGCCGGCCAGGCCCCGCCTCTTGAACGCACAGGAGGCCTGTAGGGTTGGTGACCTGAGGGGTCGTCGCATTGGGCGGTGGGGTGGACGCAGGGGGCGTGGCTCAGGCCGGACCTTCCGGTCGCTGGGTCCCAGCTGTCCTGGAACTCCGGCCTTGGGGGCGGCCTTTCAGTTCCCTGTCCTCCCGCACTGCGCTCTCCTGGTGAACGCCCCGAGAACGCCCCGAGAACGGAGTCGCTCCTGCCCCAGAGGAGATGTACTGCCTAGCCTCGGGCCCTAGCCCCGGGACAGGCGAGCAGGGAGGGATGGAAGCTCGAGCGGAACCAGGAGGAGCGCGTCCCTGGAGCCCGGGGTCCCGGGGCTCCAGCCAGTGCTGAGGAGGCGGAGGCGAGCCGGACTTGGCGGGGGCCAGGGTGCGGCGCTGATTGCTCGTGGGCGAAGCCTGGCTCCGGCCAGCAGGGGGCGCAGGGCCGCCCGGGCTCCTGGGTGCGGGTGCCGGAGGTCAGGAGGGACCGTAGGCGCCTGGACGCGGTGCTGAGCTGGGTCCCCTACCGCGTATTCCTAGGCTTTTTCGGGTTTCCATTTAAAATAACCGTTTAACTTATGCAGCCAGCGGGTGCTTGTGTACAAAATGCAAGCTCTGGGTCAAGCGTGGTGGCTCACGCCTGTAATTCCAGCACTTTGAGGGGCCGAGGTCAGGAGTTCGAGACCAGCTTGGACAACATGGTGAAACACCATCTCTACTAAAAATACAAAAATTAGCTGGGCGCAGTGGCAGGCGCCTGTAATCTCAGCTACTCGGGAGGCCGAGGCAGGAGAATCGCTTGAACCTGGGAGGCAGAGGTTGCAGTGAGCCAGAATCACGCCATTGCACTCCAGCCTGGGTGACACGGCAAGACTCCTTCCCAAAACAACAATAAAAACAAAAAAACGCAAGTCCTTTGGAGACAGGCATAGCAGGGAAACGTCCCCTTGCTTCTTGGCTTGCAGAGGGCGTCGGTGTTCGGCGCTCAGCCTTCTGGGTGTTTTCCACGTGTTCCCATTCTGGAATAGAAGGCGTTCCATGTGCACTGAGATGCAGATTGCTCTTTCTAACAGCTGAATAATGATTGAATTACGTGGATTAACTTCATCCGAAGAATTCCACCCTCTACTGATTAGCCTGCACTTCCATTACAAATAATATTGCAGCAAACCACCTTTGGATTATCCAACATTTGTGTCGGATAAATTTTTAAAATTGGAATTGTATGTGTAAACTTTTTATAGATATTGCAAATCAAAATTTAAAATTATATTTTAATAACATTTAAATTTTCTATCCAAAAGGTACCAATTGTTTAAAAATACGGGACTAGGATTTAGACGTGTGGTGGAAAGCACTTAAAAAAAAAATAAATACAAGAAATAGAATCAAAGCTCAGTTGAGGACCAGAGCCAATCAAATCACATTAAATAAGCTCTCAAAAGTGTTTTAAATATTCTGCTTAGCTAAAATTACCAACTTCTTTTTTTTTTTTTTTTTTTTTTGAGATGGAGTTTCGCTGTTGTTACCCAGACTGGAGTGCAATGGCACGATCGGCTCACCGCAACGTCCACCTTCTGGGTTCAAGCAATTCTCCTGCCTCAGCCTCCCGAGTAGCTGGGACTACAGGCGCACACCACCATGCCTAGCTAATTTTTGTATTTTTAGTAGAGACGGGGTTTCACCATGTTGACCAGGATGGTCTCAATCTCTTGACCTGGTGATCCACCCGCCTCGGCCTCCCAAAGTGCTGGGATTATAGGCGTGAGCCACCTCGCCTGGCCATTTCTTGACAACTTTTTAACTACCCCGATTTAACTTAATTTTGATATATTAGTTTTTTAATTCAGAGTTGGCACATTACATATGCGATCTAAGGTACACCAGGAGTATGCAGGGATTTGAGGGGATTTTATATGTTCAAAGCTTTCAATGCTTTTGAATTCTTCATATGTTTAAGTCTTAATGTATAACACAAAATGTAAGAAGATTGTAGAGTGCTTCAAAATTGTGACCTGACAATTTTGCATAATTATTTTCACACTTAATTTTTTGCCAATAGATTTAGGATCCTTCATGATGGAGTTGCGAATTCACGGCAATTTTCCTAATACACTTCAAAAATAGTGATAATTTTTTACCTTGCCATTTTTTAGTAGAAGAACCTGTTAGAGCCCTTTATGTTGCTTCATGTGTTCAAAAAGCCTGCGGATTATTTAGTAAACATCAGTAAATGACAATATGGAAGAAAAAAGGGTATCGCTAATTTTAATACTAATTGAATTCTTTTTAAAGGTTTTAGACTGTGGCATTTCATGAAGAAACTTATTATAATCAATATTTGGAAACTACATGCCATGGTTCACACCTATCATCTCAGCACTTTGGGAGGCTGAGTTGATGGAATTGCTTGAGGCCAGGAATTTGAGACTAGCCTGCGCAACATAGCTAGACTCTATAAAAAACAAAATTAGCTAGGTGTGGTGGCATGCACCTGTGGACCTAGCTACTCTACACTGGAGGCTGAGGTGGGAGAATTTTGCTTGAGCCCAGAAGCAGGAGACTGCAGTGAACTATGATTGTACCACTGCACTCCAACATTGGTGACAGGGCAAGACCCTGTCTCAAAAAAAAAAAAAATCAAAATTTGGTTTTCAATTAATTTAGCTTTCTGAATCAACATTTATTTGGAATATTCTATATGTCATATCACAGGTAGAGAGAGCATTGACTTTGAAATAGGGTTGAATGCTCAATTTGTTACTTAGCAGCTAAGGGACTTCAGGTGAATTACAGTTATGCATTGCTTAATGATAGTGGTAAGTTCTGGGAAAGGTGTCCTTAGGCAATTTCATCGTTTTGTGAATATCTTAGAGTTGACTTACAAAAACCTAGATGATATAGCCTACTACACACCTCAGCTACATATAGTGCCATTTATTGCTTCAAGGCTGCAAACTCATACAGCATGTTACTGCACTGAATACTGCAGACAACTGTAACACAATGGTGAGTATTTACATATCTAAACACAGAAAAGGTAAGTAAAAATATGGTATAGGCCAGGCATGGTGGCTCACGCCTGTAATCCCAGCACTTTAGGAGACTGAGGCAGGCGGATCATGAGGTCAGGAGATCAAAACCATCCTGGCCAACATGGTGAAACCCATAAAAATACAAAAAAGATTTGGGCATGGTGGCATGCACCTGTACTCCCAGCTACTCAGAAGGCTAAGGTGGGAGAACTGCTTGAACCTGGGAGGCAGAGACTGCAGTGAGCTGAGATCCTGCCTTTGTACTTCAGCCTGGTGACAGAGCAAGACTCCATCTCAAAAAGAAAAAAAAAGGGGGGGCATAATTCCATGGACCCACTGTCATACATACAGTCACTACATATAGTGAAATGTTATGTGGTCTATTGCTGTACTTAAACCTCTCTGAGCCTTATTCTTTTCAGCTAAGAAAAATCGGATGTTGTCTACCAGGTAGCATAACATTCAGAAGTAAATGAAATCACATATTTAAAGCAAGCAAATAAGGGAAGACATAATAAATGTAAGTTTTCTTCCCCCGTGTGCAAGACTTTGTACTTAGGTGAGGATCATGATCTGGGAGGAAGGCAGATACACACTCATTACTGCCTGCACAGTGTCATTAAGTGTTGTAAGAGAAGTACATTAAAGATCAATTCCCTGTATTCCCCTAGATATTCGTCATATGTCATGCTGACCTGGCATATAAAATTTTAATTCCTTTTCTCAAAGACATACACAACAACTCTGCTACTGAAGCTGCAGCACAATGACAAAATTTATTTATTTTTGCCAATGCTCTACATTTATAAGTGTTGTAGAAAGGATAAGACGTGAAATTATTTAAACAAGAAGTTTCTAAAGCTTGGTCTTCTGTCATTAGGCCACAAGAAAAACATACTCTAGCATAATAGAATGGCCCACAGCTGTTTTCACACATATACTTTAATACTTACGCATGGGTAAAATCATTTTAAATAATAAAATATATGTGGGGAGACAATCCAGCAATTGCACAGTCCACCAGAAAATGTTAATATCTAAGCAATATAAATGTTTTAGGGTCTGAAAGTTCTCCTTCAGTTGTTCCACAGCATCTTTATTAACTAGGCAAGTACATTTAAGCTTTTAAATTTCCTAATGTTGATATCTTTTAAAAGGCACATTGAGGTTAACTTAATACCAAAGATATAACATTTACTTTATATTTCATGACCTGAACACATAGATTATGAGATTCTCTACATGTCTTTAAGTAACATAAATCTGGCAGCTCTCATACCTAAATTCTCTGGATAATTGTATTGCTCTCTTTTGCAGGGCCAGGGGCTTAACAGCCAAGGCCCTGAACAGGCTTGCTGACCTAATTGGACAGTTGGTTAAATAGCAGGAAATGTAACCAGGATTTTCTCTCTCTTGCATGCCAATGTAGTGAACAGTGCTAATGGCCAGAGACTGCAATTTAGTCACAGTATTTTTTTTTTTTTTTTTTTTTTTTGAGACGGAGTTTTGCTCTTGTAACCCAGGCTGGAGTGCAATGGCGCAATCTCGGCTCACCGCAACCTCCGCCTCCTGGGTTCAGGCAATTCTCCTGCCTCAGCCTCCCGAGTAGCTGGGATTACAGGCACACGCCACTGTGCCCAGCTAATTTTTTGTATTTTTAGTAGAGAAGTCAAAATTCAGTGTTCTTAGATCAAAAGATACCAAAGAAAGCGATCCCAGTTCTTTGAACTAGACAAGCACAAAGGTTGCAATTATCAAAACCAAATTGGTAAAGGGCAAAATGTGTCCTTTCGGTATTGATTTGACAGATGCCAACAAGCATTCAAAAGTTTAGAATTAATTCCCTGGTGACAGTATCATAAAATTGATCACACTGGTTTCAACTGTATCACAAACACACTTCACAAACTGGAGATCTGATCCTTCTTGGCTTTTTTTTTTTTCACACCTTAGTTCTAGCACCTGTAATCAGAGAGACCACTGTTCAGCACCAAAAGAACCATCAGCCTGGAGTTCTTTGGAGTTTTAAGCGATTGCCTAACCCAGGAGGGGACAGTGGTCTTGACTTCTTGGCTGAAGGTTTAAAACAAAAAAGAATTTAATATTTTAAAACTGACAAATCTAGAACATGTTAGAAACCCTATTTGAAGGCACAAAGTATAAAGTTTGTGGGTACCTGATAAAACATGACATATGTAAATACAGCTCCAAACAATTTACAAGTATAAATATTTATCAATTATTTTTCTCTAGTGCTCTGGCTATTGCTGAAAACACCTTCTAGTTCCACCTTCTAACTGGATTCCCAAAAGATAAATACTGACATCCTCTGATGCTTAACAAGAAATAAAAAGAGTCACCTTAATGGTCAAAAAGGTAATCACCTTAATGGTCAAAAAGGGCACTGTTGCCTAAAATTCTCTAGTCACCTGAAAATTGAAAAAACGAAGGCAAGACTTCTTAAAACGTTTAGGAAGTTTCAGACTTAAACAGAATGGCCTGAACAGAGAAATACATGAAATCAGAATTGTGACTGCAGAGAAAGAACTGTTTTGCTAGTTTAAGTTTGAAGCTTTTCCCCTCCTCCCCAGCTGTTAACCTAAGAGACACACAGCCCCACCAGGGCTGTCTCAGTGCCCAGGAATGGTTGTGTGATGACTGATAATTTCTTGCCTATTAATAGTTTCCCACTGTTAGAAGGCTACAGCCCATTGGCAAGCAGATGTGGTCTCAGGTTTTCCTTGTCGTGGGGCAGGAATGCCTGGAGGGACCATGATGTGGGTCACACTGTACATTGTTTACTGTGGGCACAAACACACAACAGACCTTTTTTTTAGCTTATTAAATCGAGAATATTCCTGAGGAGGCATTCGCTATGAGCTAAAGGTCCCAACATCACAATAATAAATAACAGCTATGTTTACAGAGACACATTCAGGACACATGCAAAAGCTCTTCCTAGCAGGAGGGGGCCTTTCCAAAACAAGCTGCTTGGGCCTCCCCAGAGGGCCCACCCTCCCATGCACCTACCCCACCACCGTGCCCCAACTCATTACACAAGTCAACTCGGCCTTCCGGCCACCTGAGGCTGCTTTTTAGACCAAGTGACTCAGACATTTCAAGCAGAAGACAGGATGGGCCTCTGCCGGGGGACCTCGCAGCAGAAAATGAGGTCAGAGAACTTGCAGGGTGGCGAAGAACAACCAGATAGATGTGAGGGCCCAGCAGGGAAATGAATGACAGCAGGCGTTGCTTAAGTGTGGAGGCTCCAGGCTGTGGCCCCTCGCGGCTCAGATGAAGTGGATCCAGCTCCCTTCACACTCCCCGCGAGGCATGTGCAGCGCGTGGTTGCGACACGTGAGGCTGTAGTCTTGGCCACCGTTGTTGTCCCAGTACTCGGCACCAGCCACTTGGTAGCGCACAGCGAAGTGCACGAGGGAGCCGAGCTCCAGCAGGAAGGGAGGCACCGGGAAGCCGAAGGTGAAGACGTCCTCTGCGCCCTCAGTCCCCGCGGGCCCGCGCCACCTCGCCACCGCCTCGTGGGTGCTGCGCCAGCCCGAGAAAGTGTAGCGCACCGCCACCTGCTTCTCGAAGGCCACGTTGCACACGCGCACCGTACCGCTGATGCCAAGGTCCGAGCAAGTGACACGCTCCAGGCACACCAGCTGCCGCCGCAGGCGCTCGCCAAAGTCGGCGGCCTCGACGGGCGGCGGGAAATCGGGCACCAGACACTGCAGGGTGAACTCCAGGTCTTGGCTGCTGCAGCACAGGTCCGAGTTGATGGCAAGCCGCGACAGCACGTGCAGCGGCACCGACGGGTCGTCTCCCGCGTTGAACACCTTCACCTGCGCCAGCTCCAAGCCCAGGGCGTCAGCGAAGCGCACGCGGAGCTGCCGGCTGCAGCCCGGCCGACACCCAGCGCCCGGCGCGCCCGCGGCCTTCTGTCGGCGCTCGGGGGAGCTGGGCAGCGAGCGCGCTCGCCGCAGGATGATGGGCCGCAGGCGGGGGTCGCAGCCCGACGGCGCCGGCGTGGGTGGCGGCGCGCGGCCCGGGCTCCCCGGGGGCCTACAGTGCGGCGGCTCCAGAGCCACGTTGCTGTCCAGGTCCGACAGGCAGCTGAGGCTCCGGGGGGCGAGCTTCCGGGATCCCAGGGCGCTCGGCAGAACTGCGGAGCTCGGGCCTCTGGACATGGCCCCGCCGGCCGTCGGAAGATGGGGAGACAGGGATGAGGGGATGCCTCCCGACCCCGCGACAGCTCCCTCCGTGCTCAGAAGCCGCCGAGAGTCCGCCGTGTCTGCAACCTACGGGGGACCGCTGGGGCCCGGCGCGCCCTACTCTTGTTCGCCACCTTGCCCCTGGAGTCCTCGCCCGGGTCCTCCGCTTCTTGCAGTTTAAGAAATTTTAAGAGACGAGCTCTTCTCTAGTGGAAGCTTTCAGAAGCCTCCCGGGAACTCAGGGTAGCGCCTCTTTTTTTCTTTCTTTCTTTTTTTTTTTTTTTCCTTGCTTCCTTGGAGGTTCTTACGAGAAGGCTGCGTTCTGGGAGCGGCCCCTCCCACTTTCCCGGTCGGTGGCGTTACTTACGAGGCTGCAACTCGACCGGGTGCAACTTCCCAGAGAGCCTCCGCCCCGCCCCTCGTGACGCCACCTGCAGGCGGGCCCCCGCCAGCCCGGGCCGGGCCTGAGAGCTCCGTGGAGCTGCGCGCCGCCGCCTCCAGCTCCACTGCCGCAGCGCGCCGCAGCCAGGCCTCGCCGCGCGGGTGCCGGAGACGAAGGAAGGCTGGGAGCCTCGTCACGTGTGCGCTGCAGTCGCGAAACAGGTCTGATCAATGTCTGTTTACGTCTGCCTGGACCGCGCGCCTATCGATCCCAGACCCTGTCTGCACAAACGGAGGACAAGGAAAATGCATGCTGCGTGTCCTTAGATTTCTGGGTTGTGGCGTGGGGAGCGGGGGTGCAAACACCGGCATTGCCAGCAGCTGGCCCCGGGCTAATTGTAAACGTCGCGGCTAGCCCACACTTTGGACGGGTTCACTGCAACCTAGACCCTTGGCCAGACCGCGGGAGCGTCGCTGCGTGGAGGAGCAGCCTCCTGTCCGCATCACCCACAATGCTTTGCCGCCCCGAAAGGCCCACAGATTCCCCGCAGGGTGGGGACTTGAGGCGCTGCTGTTGTCTTCCTGGACCCAACGCCGGAGAGGAAGACGGGCAACCAGAGTTAATACCCGGTGATGACTTCCGCAGCTGCCCTTAATCAGCCTCTGGCGCTTGGGGAACAGATTTGTAGACAGAGTCTCCGACTTTCAGCTTTGTTTCCAAGCAAGCCGGAAACACCAGCGAGGCCTGGAGCTCGTTTTCTGCATCCTTAGAACCCTGCAAGCCTTCGTGTCTCTCACCGGGTAGCTCTGAGCACAAAACCCCACACAGACTTTGGTGTAAATCTTAACCAGGTGAAATGAGTGAGAAAGATCCAGGTCCACTTTCCAGAGAGCAGTTTGGGGCCAAGCATTCCACTGAGAAGGTTCCTTTTTCCTGTCCAGAGGGACAAAGCAGAAAGAAAAAAGGACTAAGGAAGGGGGTTATATTAAAGAACATTTTCTACATCTAAAATGAGTCAAGCTTGTTGATTGTGGTATAATTCATTAAATGTGAGAGAGTGATTTTATTTATCATCGGATGTGAGCTAACTAAAAAGGCTTACATGGTTATTGTGGAAAAAATACAGGAAAGTTTCAGGAAGAAAATATCTATAGTCACATCTCTTTTATGTTACAGAGACAGGTGATATGGGAAAGAGAAATATCCAATTTCCATTCAGCGCACTTTTAACAGGCCGCTCAAAATGGGAGGGGAATAACAGATATCTGTGGTATGGGTCAACAGTATTTCACAAAGAGAGAATAAGTAATATGTATGAATATATGGAAAATCTTGTAATGGATTGATGCGATAGAGAAGGCAGAAAAATTGAGTGGGAAGGTCTCTCTTAGAGTTTAAGCTCCTTCAGAGCAGGGACGTGCATCATCGCTGCCATTATGGACACTCCTATAAACATTTGTTGAATGAATGAATGATTGGGCAACGTAATGATTGAATGCTGTAATAAGACCTGACTTTAGCCTTCCAAATTTCTTCAACATGTTATTTCCAAGGAAGATACACTTGTGTGTGAATAGTGGGAGAGAGAGAGAGATGGAATCTGTTCACAGTATTTATAGCAGTGTGATCCTGTCTCTAATGTCTACTGTAATAAGGAGAAAAGACAAAACTGTAAGCATAAGACAATGTCTCCCTTCCCCGGGATTTCACAACTCAGAGTACAAAGTGCTATATGATCACAGCCCTAATATTTTAATACTATACAAGTATTAAAAAACAAGTGAAAAACCAACCCAATACCGGTGGTAGGACCGTTTGCAATCAATAGTTACTGACAGTATTCTGTGGTTTCTAGTTCCGGTGGTGAGGAGACCTTTCCAAATATAAGAGGAATAAAGAAGTCACCTCCCCAGCTGTCATCATCTTCCAGCAGATTGAGCAAGAATATTTTGAGCACTACAGAAAAGGTAAACTTAGAAGAAAACTCTTACTTCGATTTATTCTGGGTTTTTTGTTTGTTTGTTTCTCATGTATGTGTTCACAGTACTTATTACTGCATCCTTGGTTTTTAGACAGTCCATCAAACCCTAGATGATGATCAGCCATGCGATTTTTTCAAGAAGAGGAATAGGATGAATGAATCGCATCAGAAAAGCAGGTAAATAGTTTTAGTATAATTGTATCTTGCAAAAGACTCATTATCTCTGTTGTCTAGATTGAATAGATTTGGGGAAAAAAAGTATGTCTATGGATAAGAAATATACATTTATAATTTTTAATCTAGCAGAAATGAGTAGAAAAGTAGTTTAAGCATAATTATTAGTGGATAAGGATTCCAGTGGTCATAATTCTGTCAGTTGTTAGCAGAATTATAATTTTTAGTAAGTCCCTTACTCACTTTTCTATGTTAGTTTCCCTTTATATAAAAGGTTACTAATAATAATTAACTTTTATGGATGCACACTGACAGCCAGGCAGAAACAAAATGTCTTAACAGGTTACGAATTCTGAATAATGGACATTCTTTCATTTTTTCATTCACTTATTCAACATTTATTGAGCACATGTTGTACTATTGGCAATGATTTAATATCCTCCATATTATCAATTAAAATGTAGCACATATTCAAATAGTTGCTTGGTTTGTTTGAAACCACTGGCCAAATGAACCTCTGAGGTTTCCAGAAAGCATGTTTATCACCCATTTCTATTCATTCCATCTGACTTATATTGCAGGGAATTATTATTAATCTTAAATGCTAAGTTCTTGGTAAATAAATTGAAAAGAGGATATTTTCAACTCTAATGTGAGATTTGGCCTCAGAATAAGTTATGCCTGAAAGAATTAGTTGCTATACTTGTAAGGCACACAGTATTCATTATTTCCTTTGCCTGCTATTTCGCAAGATAGCTCTAAGACCCTGTGTTTTCATTCATATGTGTTACAGGGCACCAAATGATTTTATTTCTGTTCTTTAAACACAATTTTCCCAAATGCAAATTTTCACTCAGCTCAGAATGACCACTAATCAGTTATTAAATTGCAAAACTTGCATGTTATAATTATGCTTAATTTAAAAGAGGTGTGACCAGGCGTGGTGGCTCAAGCCTGTAATCCCAGCACTTTGGGAGGCCAAGGCGGGTGGATCACGAGGTCAAGAGATTGAGACCATCCTGGTCAACCTGGTGAAACCCCATCTCTACTAAAACTACAAAAAATTAGCTGAGCACGGTGGCGTGTGCCTGTAATCCCAGCTACTCAGGAGGCTGAGGCAGGAGAATTGCCTGAACCCAGGAGGCGGAGGTTGCGGTGAGCCGAGATCGCGCCATTGCACTCCAGCCTGGGTCACAAGAGCGAAACTCTGTCTCAAAAAAAAAAAAAAAAAAAAAATTTAAAAGAGGTGTATAAAAGTGATTTTTACTTCTGAATATTATTAAATGCTTTTGACCATAACAATTCCAGAGTTCTACAACTGATTTTTTCCAAACTTATGTTTTTTATACATAATTGCTCTAAAAGTATAAAACAAGCACTTTGAGAAATTACTAGTTTTTCCTAAATGCTAATATTTGAAATAAAATGGAAACTGTTCATTCTCTTTTGTCACATGCATTATATCATGTACCTCAAATAGAGTATTATATGGGAAAATATTCTGTAAAATTACTTCTGCGGTCAGGAGTTTGGAAGCTGACATTTTGTAATGCCTAGTAATAGCTGGGACAAAAAAGTACAACTAGAAGATTCTTTTTGTTCCTTTAATTTTAGTCAGACCATTTTTTGTCTTATGTAGTAAGAATTGCAGTTTTATTTTTAACAGCAATATGAATGCTGGCCCATCTTGGAATAAAGTGCAGCATTCAAAGGATTCTTCAGGAAAAAGGCAGAGTAAATCCCAAGTACCCCATGCTTCTTCCCAGATGAGAAGCAGCCTCTCAGCTGTCACCCAGCCAACTGAAGAAAAACTTAAAGAAAGCATTTCCCCAGAAACAAGACCCAAAAGGAATCCACTCAGTTCCAGATGTCAGGGGACCTCAGGGAATAAATTGTTTCTTGATTTTCAGTCAATGAGAATTATTAAAGAAGATGCTGATGAGGACAGTGCAAGTGATCTGTCTGATTCAGAAAGAATTCCCGTTCCTCCTTCTCCCCTCACACCTCCAGATCTCAATCTTCGAGCTGAAGAAATTGATCCAGTTTACTTTGATCTTCACCCTGGTCAGGACCATGCAAAGTCTGAATACTATTACCCTGATTTCCTTCCACCCCCTTTCAGCTCCTGGGACTTGCGGGATATGGCCCTGCTTCTGAATGCAGAGTACAAAACTGAAGCTGGGCCACGGGTGGGAGGACTTCTTGGGAAGTATATCGATAGACTGATTCAGCTTGAGTGGCTGCAGATCCAGACTGTACAGTATGAAAAAGCAAAGGGGCCCAAAGCAAGGCCTCCCACTCTCCCTGGGACTCCAGGGGCACTGAAAAGCCCTGGGAGAACTAAGCTAATTGCTAGTGCTCTGTCCAGGCCGCTACCTCACCAGGAAGGGGTTTCAAAGTCAGGCCCTTGCCTAAAGAAAGCTTGTCGCAGTGAAGAAGTCCATCCATCACATTATGCATTTGAGACTTCCCCCAGGCCCGCTGATGTGCTGGGTGGTACCAGGTTTTGTTCTCAGAAACAAACCCTTGAAATGAGGACAGAAGAAAAGAAAAAGAAACCCTGTAAGAGTGTGAGGCTGCGTTGGGATCTGTCCTGCGGTGACAGCAGCTCTAAGGTGGAAACCAATGGTAACATTCGAATTCCCAAACAGGCAGCTGTGGTTCTGGACTCAGCAGATTCCTGCAAGGCCTCCAAAACACCAGCACATGCACATCCTAGGAAAAAGGGAAAGGCA